GTACTGTGTTTTGCAGGATGGAATTTGGAAGCTGTTCGAATTTGAATGTCTTGTTTGTCTTTTTTGTGGGATTAATTTATTATTTTTAGGTATTGCAACCTTTTCGTGTTCAATTTTATAAAGCATTACCAATCTTGAGTCTTTCCTTCTGTCAGAGAGGCTGCGCCATTCAAGATGTTGTAACATGTTACCAACGCTTGAGGTGTTTCTGTATTTGTTGGTAACAAGACGCGCAGCCCTCCTTTGAACTTTTTCAATGCTATCTATGTCTTGTTGTAAGTATGGGTCCCAAACAGAGTAAGCATACTCTAGTGATGGTCTTACTAGGGACTTATATGCTTGCTCTTTAATTGATGTTGAGCTTATGTTCAGGTTCCTCCTTAGAAAGCCTAGGGTGCTATTAGCTTTCTTGCATATGTTGTTTATGTGCACATCCCATTTAAGGTTGGAACTGATGGTAACCCCCAGATATTTTGCTGTTGTTACATGTTCTAATGAGTGATTGTGTAATGTGTAGTTAAATTTGATTGGTTTTTTATTTCTGGTGACTGAAATTACATTACACTTATCTGGGTGGAATGCCATTTTCCACATAGTTTCCCACGATGCCAGTTTGTCAAGATCTTTTTGTAATGTGGATGCTTCGGAATTTGATTTTATAACCAAATACACTATTGTGTCATCTGCAAATAAACGTACTGTAGATGTAACACCAGTTGGAATGTCGTTAATATAATACAGGAAGAGACTTGGTCCAAGAACTGACCCCTGTGGAACCCCTGATTCAACTGCAACATACTCAGATTTTTCCCCCTCTAGAACTACTGCCTGTTTACGATTGCTTAGAAAATTTTGTATCCAGTAATTTAATTCCCCCTGTATCCCGTAATGGTGAAGCTTATTAGTTAGAAGAGAATGTGAAACTTTATCGAATGCTTTAGAAAAATCCATGACCAAAATATCTGTTTGTTTACCTTTTTCCATGTTAAGTGAGACATCATCTATAAATTCAAGTAGTTGTGTTTCGCAGGATCGACCTCTGCGAAATCCATGCTGTAGGGGATATAAAATGTTGTGATTATCTGCATGTGTCATGATGTGTTTAACTACTATGTGTTCTAAAAGTTTGCAACAAATACATGTGAGAGATATAGGGCGGTAGTTTTCAGGGTTATATTTTTGGCCTTTTTTTGTATACAGGAGAGACATGGGCAGTTTTCCAGTCATCTGGAACAACACCTGTTTTAACTGACTTCTCAAAGATAATGGTAAGTATTGGTGCAATTTCATGTGAAAGTTCTTTTAAAAATCTTGGTTTAATTTCGTCTGGTCCTGCTGCTTTGTTAGGATTTAAGTTATGTAAAAGTTTTTGTATACCTTCTGTTTTTATGATTAATTTTGTTATGGGTGGAAAAAGAGTATTCTGTGGCATGTTACACTGTTTGACAAATTCTTTATGGGAGATATTTGATGCTGGTGTGAATACAGACTGGAATTGTGCGTTAAGTGCCCCAGCTTTTTGTAGTGGATCAGTTAAGAGTTTGCCATCTTGTTTAATTTCAGTAATACCACTATAATCAGTTTTTTTATGTTTAATATAGGTCCAAAATTTTTTCATAGTGCCAAAATTTGTTCCATCTTGTACTTAAATTGTAAATAAAATTTAGCTTCTGTTTATCTATCTTGATAGTAATTTGTGTTGTCATCTATCTAAAGCACGTGAATAAAGTAAAATCACACAACAATATTGCACTTTGGATGAGTTTGGTAGAAAAGTCACGACAACAACCTAACTTCCGGTTGGTTTTGTTTAATAAACAAAAGTACTCCAGTTGCTCCGTTCGATAGCCAATGGTCAGAGATATTTTGAATGAGGAAGGTTTTATTTTGGGAAACTATTGTAATAACAGTTTTATTTAACATTCAAATACCAAAGCTGTTTTCGTAAATTAGAACATTCTTAAAACTTATATCTGTTATGATTATTTAAAAGAAAAATCTATATGTAATATGAATTGTAACTGAACCTTGTGAAAACACTGTTTATTCTAAACTAAAGATAATGTTATTTATAGCGGGGAAATCGTGTCATTCTATAATGGGCATAAAATATGACTTGTACTCAGAGGCGTATTAAGTGGGGGACAGGGTTCCCGGTCCCTTTGTAGGAAAATTCGTTTGACTAACTAAGTTATTTAGGGATCAGTGAAGCATGACTGGAGTGGGACCCCTCTTGGCCACTACCACCCCCTTTATCAAAATTTCTGGATCTTCACTGGTACTGCATACATACTTTTATCATCGGTACTTTATATTCTTTTCCTTTGCTTTGTTTTTACTTTTATATTCTGGCTCTGCGCTCAATTTAACTGTGCTTTTTTTAGTGTTGCTATCATGAGCACTGTGACATCTTGTTTCACTTAATAATGCTTTCATATTGATATGCGTTTTATTTTATTTGCATGTCTTAAATTGTTTACATGAATTGTATACGCCTTTTATTTGTTCGTTGGTAAAAAGTTGTACAGAGCTTACATTATTATTGGTTTAAAATGTACCAAATTTTATTTTTCTCAACCTTGTTATGTTTTATAGTCTCACTTATGACCGACTTGTTTTGTATTTCTGTGAAGCAGAATTCCTACAAAACATTTCAAAGATAATAAATTGCTTCGCCGAGCGCAGCTAGATACGACCGCGGAGGTCCTACCATGAACAGTTGGGGCAAAAATGGACACAATAATCGCGCTTGGGTCTGAATATGGATTGTAATTAAATATTTGACACATAATAGGATTCTGACAGAGAATAACTGTAGTCAAGGAACTTAGAATTGGTTATATGTTTCAATTTATATTAATTTTTTTGGCTTATATGCAATACACTATGCTGTTGCGAATTGACCCCCCTACTCAAAAAAATACACCCCTTAAGCTTTCTGTTGCGTATTGACCCCTCATTTTATTTGCTCTTGTGCAATACACTATTATGCTGTTGTTTATTGACACCTCCCCTTTTTTTTGGGCAAAAATAAATTATATTTAAAGAAAATGTCTTTTTAATTTCTGAAATTTCTGTAATCTAAAATTTAAAATTTAAAATTCCAAATAGAATTTGCAACCATAATTACCCATTTAAATACATCCTAAAATTCTTTTTTAAAACCGTTAGTTCTCTCTTGATGGCTGTATTTTTGACATTTTCACCTGTTATGTCTGTTTGATTTGTTCACACATTGTTGTCAATATAATGGAATTTGATGTGACTGTCATACAAGTGAGAGGTTTACCTAGTTATAAAAGCAGGCTCAATCCACCATTTTCTACATAAGAAAGTGCATGTACCAAGTCAGAATATGATAGTTGTTATCCATTCATTTCATGTGTTTGAGCTTTTGATTTTGCCATTTGATTAGGGACTTTCCGTTTTGAATTTTTCTCAGAGTTTAGTATTTTTGTGATTTTACTTTTTTCTAAAAACAAATTGGCAGCAAATCACCTCAAGACAATACATTTTGTTATACATGATTTAAAAGTAGTGTAAGGGATGTAATTCAAACGTAACATTCATGTACTTAAATAAGTAATAGTCCATCAAACAGGAAATCATTGTTTTCCCCCTTTTTTGCCCCTAATTCCTAATTGGTTTAAGCTATAACCCTCAAAAGCCAATCCTAACCATCCTTTTGAGGAATAAAAGCCAATCCTAACCATCCTTTTGAGGAATGGAAAATCGTGGTATAATTTCAGAGAGATCCATACAATGTTCCACAAGTTATTGTCTGGAAACTAGAAAAATGTTTTTTGGGCCCCTTTTTGCCTCCTTAAATCCCTAAACTGTTGGGACCACAACCCCTTAAATTAACCCCAACCTTTCTTGTGTGGTTATAAACCTTGTGTTCAAATTTCATACATTTCTATTTACTTATACTAAAGTTATTTAATTATTTAATGTAAATTTGAAAATAATTGATAATCATTATGAATGTCAAAAGTGTATATTTAATTTTGAAGTGTTTTGGTTGTGTTGATAAAAAAACATGTTGCAAAAAAAGACTAGATGTGTCGAAACGACACGAATGGCCCTGTCTCAAAAAGTTGAAAAATCTGCAATTTCAACAACACATGTGAACACAAACATGATGGTAGTCTCACATATCAAAATTCTGCTCAAAATCTTCAGGCTTTAAAAAACTCCATTTAACTGTGATTTTCGACCATTTATCAAAGTTCAAAGCCTGTAATTTTGGGGAAAATTAGCAAAGCGGAACTAAACATAAACTTGATCTGTAACTCATCATGGTTAACTCACATACCAGAAATCAGCCCAATATCTGAAGGCGTTTAGAAAAAAACCTGTATAACTGTGATTTTCAACAATTTATCGAAGTCCAAAGCCCGTAATTTCGACAAAAATAGTAGAGCAGGACAAAACTCAAACTTGATCTGTAACTCATTATGGTTAACTCACATACCAAAAATCAGCCCAATATCTGAAGGCCTTTAGAAAAAAAAGTCTGTAGAACTGTGATTTTCAACAATTTATCGAAGTCCAAAGCCTGTAATTTTGGCAAAAATAAGCCGACCAGAACGAAACTAAAACTTCATCTAAAATTCATCATGGTGAACTCACATACCAAAAATCAGCCTAATATCTGAAGGCATTTAGAAAAAAAGCCCGTATAATGGTTTGTTGCGGAATGACGGAATGACAGAATGATGGAAAGATGGATTGACGGAATGATGGAATGACAGACAAGGGTAAAACTATATGGCCCCGACAGCTTTGTTGCGGGGCCATAAAAAGCTTCATCATGTGTAATTACTAGTTCATGAAGATCAAAAATGTTCTCAACTTGGAAGAAAAACACAGCACTTGGTATCATTCCAACATGAACTGTACAGAAGCTGCTGCTTAATTTGATGAAAAGCCACAACTCTATCTAGCTACTGAGAAGTGCTACAATATTTATATATAAGCAGCACATAAACAGTAACAAGAAAGGCTGTTAACCTGTGAACTTTTAGACGACAGCAATTTCTCAATATTTAAACTTATCAGATTGATGTAGAAAACAGAAACTACATGAGACAAAACAGAAACTATACTTCCAGACCAGTACACCCTGCCCTTACTATGAAATCACATTCTCTCACAGATTAACTCCCTCTCTATATTCCACTCACAATCATATACCCTCACCCTCTCCATCATTCTATATTTCTCCCTCCCTTTCTCACCCTTTCACCCTATCATAACACCCTTAACCACCTACCACCTAATACCCCTTCTGCTTCGTGTTAAGTCCCTATGAGAAAATTGGGTTAGTAGATGAATACGATATTATAAGATGTACCAGATATGGAAGATCTTAAAATTTTAGAAATGTGAAGGAAATTTAGAACTGATTGATATCAAACATAAATATGAACCTGAGCCACTTTTAGAAATGTAGTCTTATTTTCTACACATAATGGTCATCATAGCATTCGTACAAAAGATTTAACAGCCAACGTTACAGAAAGCCAAATTGTGTAATGTAAATTTGAAAATAGAATGCTGTTTTGATTGATAAAACATTATGGAGGCCAAAAAGTATATATCCCACTCTTAATTTTGAAGTGTTTTTGGTGTGTTGATTACAAAATATGTTGAAAAAAATGAAAAAAAACATAAATGAAAATTGCCAAATGGTATAAATCCAAATAGTTCAAAAACACATAAAACAAAAAGCCAAATGAAAAATGCCAAAGTTTAAAAATGCCAAATGGTATTAAAAATACCTGTCTGCTTGTACTAGCCAGCTGGCCTGTGGGTTAGCTGGACTTTAAGGTGCTAGTTCACCAAGACAAATGCCCACAGTAGGTCACCTATCTTTTCCTTTTGGAGTACCAGTTTTTAAGTCTTTGATTTGACTTGGGGGCTTAAAATTTAACTAAAAAAAGATAAAAAAAAAAGGTCTCCTGTATAAATTAAAATTTGGTCTTAAAAAGTAAAATATTCCCTTTGTCCCCCACACCCAAATGGATAAAATAACGTAAAAAGTCCCTCATTTCCCAAATAATCATAAAATGACCTGCCTCAACTTATAAATTAGGATAAAAACAGTAAAATATCTCCAATTAAAATTTAGATAAAAACAGTAAAATATCCCTAATTAAAGTTTAGATAAAAACAGTAAAATATCCGATTAAAATTTGGATAATTGCAGAAAAATATCCCCAATTAAAATTTGGATAAAAACAGTAAAATATCCCCAATTAAAATTTGGATAAAAACAAATAAAATACTTTTTTCCCCTTAAAAGCATGTTACAGAGCTTCACATGCAGACTGAGCCACCTCACTCTCAGTTTGTTCCAGTAAAAAATCCCCAATTAAAATTTGGATAAAAACAAATAAAATACGTTTTCCCCTTAAAAGCATGTTACAGAGCTTCACATGCAGACTTGAGCCACCTCACTCTCAGTTTGTTCCAGTAAAAACAATAAAATATCCCTGATTAAAATTTGGATAAAAACAGTAAAATATCCCCAATTAAATTTGGATAAAAACAAATAAAATACTTTTTTCCCCTTAAAAGCATGTTACAGAGCTTGACATGCAGACTGAGCCACCTCACTCTCAGTTTGTTCCAGTAAAAACAATAAAATATCCCCAATTAAAATTTGGATAAAAACAGTAAAATATCCCCAATTAAAATTTGGATAAAAACAAATAAAATACTTTTCCCCCTTAAAACCATGTTACAGAGCTTCACATGCAGACCCGAGCCACCTCACTCTCAGTTTGTTCCAGTAAAAATAATAAAATATCCCCAATTAAAATTTGGATAAAAACAGTAAAATATCCCCAATTAAAATTTGGATAAAAACAAATAAAATACTTTTTCCCCTTAAAAGCATGTTACAGAGCTTCACATGCAGACTGAGCCACCTCACTCTCAGTTTGTTCCAGTAAAAACAATAAAATATCCCCAATTAAAATTTGGATAAAAACAAATAAAATACTTTTTTCCCCTTAGAAACATGTAACAGAGCTTCACATGCAGACTGAGCCACCTCACTCTCAGTTCGTTCCAGTAAAAACAGTAAAATATCCCCTATTAAAATTTGGATAAAAACAGTAAAATATCCCCAATTAAAATTTGGATAAAAACAAATAAAATACTTTTTTCCCCTTAAAAGCATGTTACAGAGCTTCACATGCAGACTGAGCCACCTCACTCTCAGTTTGTTCCAGTAAAAACAATAAAATATCCCCAATTAAAATTTGGATAAAAACAGTAAAATATCCCCAATTAAAATTTGGATAAAAACAAATAAAATACTTTTTCCCCTTAAAAGCATGTTACAGAGCTTCACATGCAGACTGAGCCACCTCACTCTCAGTTTGTTCCAGTAAAAACAATAAAATATCCCCAATTAAAATTTGGATAAAAACAGTAAAATATCCCCAATTAAAATTTGGATAAAAACAGTAAAATATCCCTAATTAAAGTTTAGATAAAAACAGTAAAATATCCGATTAAAATTTGGATAAATGCAGAAAAATATCCCCAATTAAAATCTGGATAAAAACAGTAAAATATCCCCAATTAAAATTTGGATAAAAACAAATAAAATACTTTTTTCCCCTTAAAAGCATGTTACAGAGCTTCACATGCAGACTGAGCCACCTCACTCTCAGTTTGTTCCAGTAAAAAATCCCCAATTAAAATTTGGATAAAAACAAATAAAATACGTTTTCCCCTTAAAAGCATGTTACAGAGCTTCACATGCAAACTTGAGCCACCTCACTCTCAGTTTGTTCCAGTAAAAACAATAAAATATCCCCAATTAAAATTTGGATAAAAACAGTAAAATATCCCCAATTAAAATTTGGATAAAAACAAATAAAATACTTTTTCCCCCTTAAAAGCATGTTACAGAGCTTCACATGCAGACTGAGCCACCTCACTCTCAGTTTGTTCCAGTAAAAACAATAAAATATCCCCAATTAAAATTTGGATAAAAACAGTAAAATATCCCCAATTAAATTTGGATAAAAACAAATAAAATACTTTTTTCCCCTTAAAAGCATGTTACAGAGCTTCACATGCAGACCCGAGCTACCTCACTCTCAGTTTGTTCCAGTAAAAACAATAAAATATCCCCAATTAAAATTTGGATAAAAACAGTAAAATATCCCCAATTAAAATTTGGATAAAAACAAATAAAATACTTTTTCCCCTTAAAAGCATGTTACAGAGCATCACATGCAGACTGAGCCACCTCACTCTCAGTTTGTTCCAGTAAAAACAATAAAATATCCCCAATTAAAATTTGGATGAAAACAGTAAAATATCCCCAATTAAAATTTGGACAAAAACAAATAAAATACTTTTTCCCCTTAAAAGCATGTTACAGAGCTTCACATGCAGACTGAGCCACCTCACTCTCAGTTTGTTCCAGTAAAAACAATAAAATATCCACAATTAAAATTTGGATAAAAACAGTAAAATATCCCCAATTAAAATTTGGATAAAAACAAATAAAATACTTTTTCCCCTTAAAAGCATGTTACAGAGCTTCAAATGCAGACTGAGCCACCTCACTCTCAGTTTGTTCCAGTAAAAACAATAAAATATCCCAAATTAAAATTTGGATAAAAACAGTAAAATATCCCCAATTAAAATTTGGATAAAAACAGTAAAATATCCCTAATTAAAGTTTGGATAAAAACAAATAAAATACTTTTTTCCCCTTAAAAGCATGTTACAGAGCATCACATGCAGACTGAGCCACCTCACTCTGTTTGTTCCAGTAAAAACAATAAAATATCCCCAATTAAAATTTGGATGAAAAGAGTAAATTATCCCCAATTAAAATTTGGATAAAAACAAATAAAATACTTTTTCCCCTTAAAAGCATGTTACAGAGCTTCACATGCAGACTGAGCCACCTCACTCTCAGTTTGTTCCAGTAAAAACAATAAAATATCCACAATTAAAATTTGGATAAAAACAGTAAAATATCCCCAATTAAAATTTGGATAAAAACAGTAAAATATCCCCAATTAAAATTTGGATAAAAACAAATAAAATACTTTTCCCCCTTAAAAGCATGTTACAGAGCTTCACATGCAGACTGAGCCACCTCACTCTCAGTTTGTTCCAGTAAAAACAATAAAATATCCCCAATTAAAATTTGGATAAAAACAGTAAAATATCCCCAATTAAAATTTGGATAAAAACAAATAAAATACTTTTTCCCCTTAAAAGCATGTTACAGAGCTTCACATGCAGGCTGAGCCACCTCACTCTCAGTTTGTTCCAGTAAAAACAATAAAATATCCCCAATTAAAATTTGGATAAAAACAAATAAAATACTTTTTTCCCCTTAGAAACATGTAACAGAGCTTCACATGCAGACTGAGCCACCTCACTCTCAGTTCGTTCCAGTAAAAACAGTAAAATATCCCCTATTAAAATTTGGATAAAAACAGTAAAATATCCCCAATTAAAATTTGGATAAAAACAAATAAAATACTTTTTTCCCCTTAAAAGCATGTTACAGAGCTTCACATGCAGACTGAGCCACCTCACTCTCAGTTTGTTCCAGTAAAAACAATAAAATATCCCCAATTAAAATTTGGATAAAAACAGTAAAATATCCCCAATTAAAATTTGGATAAAAACAAATAAAATACTTTTTCCCCTTAAAAGCATGTTACAGAGCTTCAAATGCAGACTGAGCCACCTCACTCTCAGTTTGTTCCAGTAAAAACAATAAAATATCCCAAATTAAAATTTGGATAAAAACAGTAAAATATCCCCAATTAAAATTTGGATAAAAACAGTAAAATATCCCTAATTAAAGTTTGGATAAAAACAAATAAAATACTTTTTTCCCCTTAAAAGCATGTTACAGAGCATCACATGCAGACTGAGCCACCTCACTCTGTTTGTTCCAGTAAAAACAATAAAATATCCCCAATTAAAATTTGGATGAAAAGAGTAAATTATCCCCAATTAAAATTTGGATAAAAACAAATAAAATACTTTTTCCCCTTAAAAGCATGTTACAGAGCTTCACATGCAGACTGAGCCACCTCACTCTCAGTTTGTTCCAGTAAAAACAATAAAATATCCACAATTAAAATTTGGATAAAAACAGTAAAATATCCCCAATTAAAATTTGGATAAAAACAGTAAAATATCCCCAATTAAAATTTGGATAAAAACAAATAAAATACTTTTTCCCCTTAAAAGCATGTTACAGAGCTTCACATGCAGACTGAGCCACCTCACTCTCAGTTTGTTCCAGTAAAAACAATAAAATATCCCCAATTAAAATTTGGATAAAAACAGTAAAATATCCCCAATTAAAATTTGGATAAAAACAGTAAAATATCCCCAATTAAAATTTGGATAAAAACAGTAAAATATCCCCATTTAAAATTTGGATAAAAACAAATAAAATACGTTTTCCCCCTTAAAAGCATGTAACAGAGCTTCACATGCAGACTTGAGCCACCTCACTCTCAGTTTGTTCCAGTAAAAACAATAAAATATCCCCGATTAAAATTTGGATAAAAACAGTAAAATATCCCCAATTAAATTTGGATAAAAACAAATAAAATACTTTTTTCCCCTTAAAAGCATGTTACAGAGCTTGACATGCAGACTGAGCCACCTCACTCTCAGTTTGTTCCAGTAAAAACAATAAAATATCCCCAATTAAAATTTGGATAAAAACAGTAAAATATCCCCAATTAAAATTTGGATAAAAACAAATAAAATACTTTTCCCCCTTAAAACCATGTTACAGAGCTTCACATGCAGACCCGAGCCACCTCACTCTCAGTTTGTTCCAGTAAAAACAATAAAATATCCCCAATTAAAATTTGGATAAAAACAGTAAAATATCCCCAATTAAAATTTGGATAAAAACAAATAAAATACTTTTTCCCCTTAAAAGCATGTTACAGAGCTTCACATGCAGACTGAGCCACTTCACTCTCAGTTTGTTCCAGTAAAAACAATAAAATATCCCCAATTAAAATTTGGATAAAAACAAATAAAATACTTTTTTCCCCTTAGAAACATGTAACAGAGCTTCACATGCAGACTGAGCCACCTCACTCTCAGTTCGTTCCAGTAAAAACAGTAAAATATCCCCTATTAAAATTTGGATAAAAACAGTAAAATATCCCCAATTAAAATTTGGATAAAAACAAATAAAATACTTTTTTCCCCTTAAAAGCATGTTACAGAGCTTCACATGCAGACTGAGCCACCTCACTCTCAGTTTGTTCCAGTAAAAACAATAAAATATCCCCAATTAAAATTTGGATAAAAACAGTAAAATATCCCCAATTAAAATTTGGATAAAAACAAATAAAATACTTTTTCCCCTTAAAAGCATGTTACAGAGCTTCACATGCAGACTGAGCCACCTCACTCTCAGTTTGTTCCAGTAAAAACAATAAAATATCCCCAATTAAAATTTGGATAAAAACAGTAAAATATCCCCAATTAAAATTTGGATAAAAACAGTAAAATATCCCTAATTAAAGTTTAGATAAAAACAGTAAAATATCCGATTAAAATTTGGATAAATGCAGAAAAATATCCCCAATTAAAATTTGGATAAAAACAGTAAAATATCCCCAATTAAAATTTGGATAAAAACAAATAAAATACTTTTTTCCCCTTAAAAGCATGTTACAGAGCTTCACATGCAGACTGAGCCACCTCACTCTCAGTTTGTTCCAGTAAAAAATCCCCAATTAAAATTTGGATAAAAACAAATAAAATACGTTTTCCCCTTAAAAGCATGTTACAGAGCTTCACATGCAAACTTGAGCCACCTCACTCTCAGTTTGTTCCAGTAAAAACAATAAAATATCCCCAATTAAAATTTGGATAAAAACAGTAAAATATCCCCAATTAAAATTTGGATAAAAACAAATAAAATACTTTCCCCCCTTAAAAGCATGTTACAGAGCTTCACATGCAGACTGAGCCACCTCACTCTCAGTTTGTTCCAGTAAAAACAATAAAATATTCCCAATTAAAATTTGGATAAAAACAGTAAAATATCCCCAATTAAATTTGGATAAAAACAAATAAAATACTTTTTTCCCCTTAAAAGCATGTTACAGAGCTTCACATGCAGACCCGAGCCACCTCACTCTCAGTTTGTTCCAGTAAAAACAATAAAATATCCCCAATTAAAATTTGGATAAAAACAGTAAAATATCCCCAATTAAAATTTTGATAAAAACAGTAAAATATCCCCAATTTAAATTTGGATAAAAACAAATAAAATACTTTTCCCCCTTAAAAGCATGTTACAGAACTTCACATGCAGACTGAGCCACCTCACTCTCAGTTTGTTCCAGTAAAAACAATAAAATATCCCCAATTAAAATTTGGATAAAAACAGTAAAATATCCCCAATTAAAATTTGGATAAAAACAAATAAAATACTTTTTCCCCTTAAAAGCATGTTACAGAGCTTCACATGCAGGCTGAGCCACCTCACTCTCAGTTTGTTCCAGTAAAAACAATAAAATATCCCCAATTAAAATTTGGATAAAAACAGTAAAATATCCTCAATTAAAATTTGGATAAAAACAAATAAAATACTTTTTCCCCTTAAAAGCATGTTACAGAGCTTCACATGCAGACTGAGCCACCTCACTCTCAGTTTGTTCCAGTAAAAACAATAAAATATCCCCAATTAAAATTTGGATAAAAACAGTAAAATATCCCCAATTAAAGTTTGGATAAAAACAAATAAAATACTTTTTCCCCTTAAAAGCATGTTACAGAGCTTCACATGCAGGCTGAGCCACCTCACTCTCAGTTTGTTCCAGTAAAAACAATAAAATATCCCCAATTAAAATTTGGATAAAAACAAATAAAATACTTTTTACAATTAAAAGCATGTTACAGAGCTTCACATGCAGACTGAGCCACCTCGCTCTCAGTTTTCCCCTTAAAAGCATGTTACAGAGCTTCACATGCAGACTGAGCCACCTCACTCTCAGTTTGTTCCAGTAAAAACAATAAAATATCCCCAATTAAAATTTGGATAAAAACAGTAAAATATCCCCAATTAAAATTTGGATAAAAACAAATAAAATACTTTTTCCCCTTAAAAGCATGTTACAGAGCATCACATGCAGACTGAGCCACCTCACTCTCAGTTTGTTCCAGTAAAAACAATAAAATATCCACAATTAAAATTTGGATAAAAACAGTAAAATATCCCCAATTTAAATTTGGATAAAAACAAATAAAATACTTTTCCCCCTTAAAAGCATGTTACAGAGCTTCACATGCAGACTGAGCCACCTCACTCTCAGTTTGTTCCAGTAAAAACAATAAAATATCCCCAATTAAAATTTGGATAAAAACAAATAAAATACTTTTTCCCCTTAAAAGCATGTTACAGAGCTTCACATGCAGACTGAGCCACCTCACTCTCAGTTTGTTCCAGTAAAAACAATAAAATATCCACAATTAAAATTTGGATAAAAACAGTAAAATATCCCCAATTTAAATTTGGATAAAAACAAATAAAATACTTTTCCCCCTTAAAAGCATGTTACAGAGCTTCACATGCAGACTGAGCCACCTCACTCTCAGTTTGTTCCAGTAAAAACAATAAAATATCCCCAATTAAAATTTGGATAAAAACAGTAAAATATCCCCAATTAAAATTTGGATAAAAACAAATAAAATACTTTTTCCCCTTAAAAGCATGTTACAGAGCTTCACATGCAGGCTGAGCCACCTCACTCTCAGTTTGTTCCAGTAAAAACAATAAAATATCCCCAATTAAAATTTGGATAAAAACAGTAAAATATCCTCAATTAAAATTTGGATAAAAACAAATAAAATACTTTTTCCCCTTAAAAGCATGTTACAGAGCTTCACATGCAGACTGAGCCACCTCACTCTCAGTTTGTTCCAGTAAAAACAATAAAATATCCCCAATTAAAATTTGGATAAAAACAGTAAAATATCCCCAATTAAAGTTTGGATAAAAACAAATAAAATACTTTTTCCCCTTAAAAGCATGTTACAGAGCTTCACATGCAGGCTGAGCCACCTCACTCTCAGTTTGTTCCAGTAAAAACAATAAAATATCCCCAATTAAAATTTGGATAAAAACAAATAAAATACTTTTTACAATTAAAAGCATGTTACAGAGCTTCACATGCAGACTGAGCCACCTCGCTCTCAGTTTTCCCCTTAAAAGCATGTTACAGAGCTTCACATGCAGACTGAGCCACCTCACTCTCAGTTTGTTCCAGTAAAAACAATAAAATATCCCCAATTAAAATTTGGATAAAAACAGTAAAATATCCCCAATTAAAATTTGGATAAAAACAAATAAAATACTTTTTCCCCTTAAAAGCATGTTACAGAGCTTCACATGCAGACTGAGCCACCTCACTCTCAGTTTGTTCCAGTAAAAACAATAAAATATCCCCAATTAAAATTTGGATAAAAACAGTAAAATATCCCCAATTAAAATTTGGAAATATCCCCAATTAAAATTTGGATAAAAACAAATAAAATACTTTTTTCCCCTTAAAAGCATGTTACAGAGCTTCACATGCAGGCTGAGCCACCTCACTCTCAGTTTGTTCCAGTAAAAACAATAAAATATCCCCAATTAAAATTTGGATAAAAACAGTAAAATATCCCCAATTAAAATTTGGATAAAAACAAATAAAATACTTTTTTCCCCTTAAAAGCATGTTACAGAGCTTCACATGCAGGCTGAGCCACCTCACTCTCAGTTTGTTCCAGTAAAAACAATAAAATATCCCCAATTAAAATTTGGATAAAAACAAATAAAATACTTTTTACAATTAAAAGCATGTTACAGAGCTTCACATGCAGACTGAGCCACCTCGCTCTCAGTTTTCCCCTTAAAAGCATGTTACAGAGCTTCACATGCAGACTGAGCCACCTCTCTCTCAGTTTGTGCCAGGAATAGCAAAAAATATTTTGACTGAGCCATCGCACATCAGTCAAACTGAGCCACCTCACTCTCAGTTTAACGTACCAGTAAGAATGGATACTTGATACGTATGATGGGGGACGTTCCTATACCTAAAAGGGAGGTATAGTATCTGTGAACCCCAAACACAGAGCGCGGCTTAACTTCGTCATACGTATACACAAGTATCCAATGCTAACTGATACATAACGTTGTCATGTTTTTCATGTCAGTCACTGAAAATAATTTTTAAATGTTACAACTGAAATAATAACAAAAACCTTGATTCCAAGTTGCCTGTGGTAAGAAGTGAAATAATATCAAAAACCTTGATTCCAAGTTGCCTGTGTTAAGTGAAATAACTTCTCTGTAAAATATATCTAGTTTTGAAATTCTTGATGGTTTTCTTAAGGATTGAAGAACATGTGGCATTCCGGTAAACACAGTGTGACAGCAACTCAACTATAAAGTAAAACCAGAAAGATATGAAAATGTAAAAAGTTGAGGTCTGAAGCTGGCATGTCAGTAACTGCTAGTAGTCTGTTGTTATTTATGTATTATTGTCATTTTGTTTATTTTCTTTTGTTTCATATTCTGACATCGAACTCAGACAACTCTTAAACTGAGTTTCACTGTGCGTATTTTTGTGCGATTTTTTTTTCTACATTGGCTAGAGGTATAAGGGGAGAGTTGAGATCTCAAAAAAACATGTTTAACCCCGCCACAATTTTGTGCCTGTCCCAAGTCAGGAGCCTCTGGCCTTTGTTACTCTTGTATGATTTTCAATTGTAGTTTCTTGTGTATAATTAGTTTAGTATGATGTCCATTATCACTGAACTAGTATATATGTTTAGGGGCCAGCTGAAGGACGCATAAGGGTGCGGGAGTTTCTAGCTGCATTCAAGACCCATAAGGTGCCTTCAGCTGTTGTCTGCTCTATGGTCGAGTTGTTGTCTCTTTGACACATTCCCCATTTCCATTCTCAATTTTAGTCTTTAATCATTACTTTTTCAAATTATGACTTGGATTGAGAGTTGCCTCATTGGCACTCATACCACATATTTCTTATATCTATTTAACAATGACTTGTTCTTAGGTGGAAAGTAATTTTACTATTTATTCGAATTTCAAGATATCTCATATAATATATAAGATATCTAATATATGATATCTTATTTAATGTATAAGATATCTTATTTAATATAAGATATCTCATATAGTTTAAAAGATATTTTATAAATTTTATGAGATATCTTAAAAACTATATGAGATATCTTATAAACTATATAAGATATCTTATATAATATGTGAGATATCTTATAAAATTATATGAGATATCTTATATAGTTAATGAGATATCTTATATAGTTTATATTAAAGATATCTTATATAGTTTATAAGATATCTTATATAGTTTATAAGATATCTTATATAGTTTATAAGATATCTTATATAGTTTATTAGATATCTTATATAGTTAATGAGATATCTTATATAGTTTATAAGATATCATTGGCATTCAAGGATAGTTATTCTCATTGGCAACCCTTCCATATATCCTTATTTTGTATATGGTTGAGAGATAAATGTAGTTTCCTGTCTGTATAACCCGTGCATTGAGTTGCACTTTCAGGCTAAAAATAGACTTGATAAATTTCTGGCAGCACATCTATCAAGAATTAGCATATGACAATTTATTCTGTTATAAGTTTCAAGAAAGAAAATAAAAATTTGTCTATCTTTTATGTTGTTTTTTATTCTAAACATATAAAACATTTTCATAATTCATTTAAATGAGCAAAAATTCTTCAATTCATACCAAGAATGTACCGTTTTAAACAAATTCTACTGAAATCTGAAGAATACCATACAAGTTCTTCAAGTCTTTAACTGCATACAAATGTTTGTCACAGACTATTATCTGTCTTGTAAGTGTTCATATGAAAAATACCACATTTAGGTCATACAAATGCTAGTCCAGATAACATCCATGTAGTCTTTGAATTATTTGATTATTGTCTCATTTCTGTTAAGGATTCACTTCTAATACAATTGACCTTGTTCAAAGATGACGTGTTGACAACTCCTCTTCAACCAAATTGCTTGTTCTGAACTTCTCTCAACATACTGAAAAGTAAAAATAAGATTTATTATCCCTAAAGTATGCAAGTTTAATCAGCCATTCATATGTAAAGTTTAGTTTAATCAATTTTGAATAATTGGTAAATGATAATAAAAAAGATGTGGAATGATTGCCAATGAGACAAATCTCAACAAGAGACCAAATGGCACAGAAATTAACTACTTTAAGTCACAGAATATGGTCATAGATAAAAGGCTCCAAAATTACCATAGTAAAATAATTCAAACAAGAAAACTAATGGCCTGATATAAGTACAAAACTAGAGGCTCTAAAGAGCCTGTGTCGCTCACCTTGGTCTATGTTCATACTAAACAAAGGACATGTATACATAATAGATGAGAATAGAATTCATGACAAACTTATGTTTTGATGATGATGTGTTTGTCAATCTTACTTTACTGAACATTCTTGCTGTTTCGATTATCTCTACCTATAATGAACTTGGCTCAGTAGTTTCAAAGGAAAATATTTTGTAAATAAAATGCTCCGCTGGGCGCAGCTTGATATGACCGCAGAGGTCGAACCCTGAACAGTTGGGGCAAGTATGGACACAACATTCAAGTTTGATACAGCTCTGAATTTGGATTGTGATTAAATATTTGACACAGCATAGGTTTCTGACACAGAATGAATGTGGTCTAAGAACTTAAATTTTAATTTACCTAGTATGGTCCAATATCCAAAATCTAAATACATGGTTAGATTCAGCATATCAAAGAATCCAAAGAATTCAATTTTTGATGAAACCAAAAGTTTAATTTTGGACCCTTTTGACCTCAATGTGGACCAATTTGATAACGGGGCCCAAAAATCAAAATACATGGTTAGATTTAGCATATCAAAGAACCCCATATATTCATTTTTTGTTGAAATCAAACGAAGTTTAATTTTGGACCCCAACTTGGACCAACTTGAAAACTGGGCCCATAATCAAAAATCTAAACACATGTTTAGATTCAGCATATCAAAGAACCCCAAGAATTCAATTTTTGTTAAAATCAAACTAAGTTTAATTTTGGACCCTTTTGGACCTTAATGTAGACCATTTTAAAAAACAGGACCCAAAATTAAAAATCTAAATACAGGGTTAGATTTGGCATATCAAAGAACCCCAATAATTCAATTTTTGATGAAATAAAACAAAGTTTAATTTTGGACACTTTTGACCTCAATATGAACCAATTTGATAGCGGGGCCCACATATAAAAAATCTAAATACATGGTTAGATTCAGCATATCAAAGAACCCCATATATTCAATTTTTGTTGAAATCAAACAAAGTTTAATTTTGAACCCCAATTTGGACCAACTTGAAAACTGGGGCCAAAATCAAAAATCTAAATACATGTTTAGATTCAGCATATCAAGGAACCCCATATATTCAATTTTTGTTTAAATCAAACTAAGTTTAATTTTGGATCCTTTGAACCTTAATGTAGACCAATTTGAAAACTGGACCCAAAAATTAAAAATCTAAATACATGGTTAGATTTGGCATATCAAAGAACCCCAATAATTAAATTTTTGATGAAATCAAACAAAGTTTAATTTTGGAACCTTTTGACCTCAATATGAACCAATTTGATAGTGGGGCCCACAAATAAAAAATCTAAATACATGGTTAGATTCAGCATATCAAAGAACCCCATATATTCAATTTTTGTTGAAATCAAACAAAGTTTAATTTTGGACCCCAATTTGGACCAACTTGAAAACTGGGCCCAAAATCAAAAATCTAAATACATGTTTAGATTCAGCATATCAAAGAACCCCATATATTCAATTAATTTTGGTTAAAATCAAACTAAGTTTAATTTTGGACCCTTTGGACCTTAATGTAGACCAATTTGAAAACTGGACCCAAAATTAAAAATCTAAATATCATGGTCAGATTTGGCATAACAAATAAATAAATGTGGTCAAAGATTTTACAAATCTAATGCGCCATACTGTGCAATTAAAGATTACTTCTTGAAATTTTTCAATATTAGAAATTTGAAAAAAAAATAATATTTAAAGAATAATTCTTTTTAATTTCTGAAATCTGAAATGAGAAAAAATTGACCCCCACAATTTCTTTTTACCCCCCCCCCCCTTTTTCCCCCCAAAAAATTCTTTCCCTCAAGATATGGTCATAATCTCAATTCAAATTTCCAATGGAATTTGTAACCATAATTACCCATTTAAATTATGTTTTGTACTAACGTATTTGTCCATATAAATTTGCTTGTTTTGTGCCCCTTTTTTGGCCCCTAATTCCTAAAATTTTGAGGCAATTACCCCCAAAATCAATCCCAGCATTCCCTTTGTGATATGGAATCTTGTGGTACAATGTTAGAGAGATCCATACACTAACACACAAGTTATGTCTGGAAGTTACAAAAATTCGTAAGGGTTCCGCGGAACCCAGTGTCTCACCTACTTTTGCTGTTAATTGCAGGCTCAACAAAAATGAGGAAAAAAATTAATAAAAATATTCCTCTCTATACTATCTTTTGATTGTAAGTAGCTTCTGTCCAAGTTTGGTAAAAATCCAGGATGGTTTTTGAATCTAATAAATGTTTTTAAAACTTTAACTGCAGACTGTATGTAAAGTTAACTGGAAGAAAAACTAAGTCCATTTATAAGTAAAATACGGAAAAAATGGAACATATTTTTATCAAAATTTTCTTCTAGATACTATCTTATGATCATAAATAAGCTTCTGTCCAAGTGTAGTACAAATCCAGGATAGTTTAAGAAAGTTGTTAAAATTTTAAAAACTTTAACCACAGAGTGAATGTAATGTTAACTGGCAGAAAAACTAAGTCCATTTATAAGTAAAATACGGAAAAAATGGAATTTTTTTTTTACAAAATTTACTTCTGGATACTATCTTATGATCATAAACAAGCTTCTTTCCAAGTTTGGTAGAAATCCAGGATAGTTTAAGAAAGTTATTAAAATTTCAAAAACTTTAACCACAGAGTGAATGTAATGTTTCCTGGCAGAAAAACTAAGTCCATTTATAAGTAAAATACGGAAAAAATGGAATTTTTTTTTTTACAAAATTTACTTTTGAATATAATCTTATGATCATAAACAAGCTTCTGTCCAAGTTTGGTAGAAATCCAGGATAGTTTAAGAAAGTTATTAAAATTTCAAAAACTTTAACCACAGAGTGAATATTTGTGGACGCCGCCGACGACAACGACGACGACGGAATGTAGGATCGCTATGTCTCGCTTTTTCGACAAAAGTCGAAGGCTCGACAAAAATGCTTATTTTTGGCCCCTTTTTGGCCCCTAATTCCTTAACTGTTGGTACCATAACCCCCAAAATCAATCCCAACCTTCCTGTTGTGGTATTGAACCTAATGGTAAAATTTCATAGAGATCCATTCACTTAAACTAAAGTTAGAGTGCGAAAACTAATGTGTCTTCGGACGACGACTCCGACGCTGGACAACGACGCCAATGTCATACCAATATACGACCACAAAAATTTTTTTGCGGTCGTATAAAAATTACAAAAATTTACATAATTTACGAAAATTGTTTAAAATTTACTAAAACGCAATAACTCCTTATTGACCATTTTGGTCAAGTTGACTTATTTGTAGATCTTACTTTGCTATACATAATTGCTGTTTACAGTTTATCTTTATCTAAGATAATATTGAAGATAATAACCAAAAACTGCAAAATTTCTTAAAATTACCAATTCAGGGGCAGGAACCCAACAACAGGTTGCCTGATTTGTCTGAAAATTTAAGGGCAGTTAGATCTTGACTTAATGAAAATATTTTAATGAATGAGATTTGCTCTTTATGCTTTGAAATTCAGAGATATTAGCCAAAAATTGCATTTTACCCCTATATACTATTTTTAGCCATGTCGGCCATCTTGGTTTGTGGACAGGGTCATTGGACACATTCTTAAAACTACATACCCTTAAGATGATGATTGCCAAGTTTGGTTAAATTTGTCAAAGTAGTTTCAGAGGAGAAGATTTTTTTAAAAGATTACTAAAATTTTTGAAAAATTCGTAAGGGTTCCGCGGAACCCAGTGTCTCGCCTACTTTTCTGTTAATCGCAGGCTCAACAAAAATGAGGAATTAAATCAATCAAAATATTCCTCTTGATACTATCTTTTGATTGTATGAAGCTTCTGTCCAAGTTTGGTAAAAATCCAGGATAGTTTATGAATCTAATAAATGTTTAAAAACTTTAACTGCAGACTGAATGTAATGTTAACTGGAAGAAAACAAAATTTCCTTCTAGATACTAGCATTTGATCATAAACAAGCTTCTGTCCAAGTTTGGTACAAATCCAAAATAGTATAAGAAAGTTATTAAAATTTTAAAAACTTTAACCACAGAGTGAATGTGTTGTTTCCTGGCAGAAAATCTAAGTCCATTTAAAAGTAAAATACGGAAAAAATGGATTTATTTTTTTACAAAATTTCCTTCTAGATACTAGCTTTCGATCATAAACAAGTTTCTGTCCAAGTTTGGTACAAATCCAAAATAGTATAAGAAAGTTATTAAAATTTTGAAAACTTTAACCACAGAGTGAATGTGTTGTTTCCTGCAGAAAATCTAAGTCCATTTAAAAGTAAAATAAGGAAAAAATGATTTTTTTTTTTTACAAAATTTACTTCTGGATACTATCTTATGATCATAAACAAGCTTCTGTCCAAGTTTGGTAGAAACCCAGGATAGTTTAAGAAAGTTATTAAAATTTGAAAAACTTTAACCACAGAGTGAATGTAATATTTCCCGGCAGAAAAACTAAGTCCATTTATAAGTAAAATACGGAAAAAATGGAATTTTATTTTTACAAAATTTACTTCTGGATACTATCTTATGATCATAAACAAGCTTCTGTCCAAGTTTGGTAGAAATCCAGGATAGTTTAAGAAAGTTATTAAAATTTCAAAAACTTTAACCACAGAGTGAATATTTGTGGACGCCGCCGACGACGACGACGACGACGACGCCGA